CTCGAGCGCCGCGGTGGCAGAGCCGGCGGGCGGCGTTTCCTGCGCGGCCCCGCGGCCCCCGGGCCACCGCCGGGGCTAGGCGGGAACACCGGAGCGAAAGAGGTGCGGGAAAGGCGCGCATTTACCGGCCCGCGCTTCTGTCCTGCGCCCCACGCCCCGGACACTATCGGGTGTTTTTCTCTTGAGAGGCTCTGGTGACTGTTGGAGGCTTCTTGTATGTGTGTGCCCCCCGGGTTTTCCCCGAATGAGACATGCCTTGGAAGAGGCTGGGAAGTCAGCCGGGGATGCGCGAGGGATGTAGTGTGTGTGGCATCCAGACAATGTCAGCTTGGGTGAGTCTCCACCCTGTGCAGCCGCAGGCAGTCGGGTCCCCGGCGCAGGCATCGCCGAGGCGCGCTGCCACCCGCGGAACAAAACGCGCAAATCCTCGTTCTTGGTGCAAGAAGGAATGATGGTTAAAAATCAAACACCAAACCTGAAACCTGTTCAGCTTTTTAGCCATACGACTTCCTGAAGGCAGACTGGTTTGCGAAGAATCTCCCAAGCAAGCTTGATGCCTGTTGGTTTTCATGAAACTGGGAGAGTGATATATTTTTTCTGCATGGGGAAAATCATTGATGGTGGGAGGGAAAGGAGGAGTGTCTGTATACACGAATGTCACATGACCTTGTAAAATTCATATGGCTATACTTATTTTTCTCCTGTACTAATGCTGGTTGTCTTCAGAAGTCCATGACTTACCTGTTCATTTTGGAAGACTTTATTTCTTTTGGATTTGTTATCTTGTGGGGCAGAAAACAATCACCTGCATATTTGAACAGTCTCTACATGTTACCATTTTTACTAGTATTTTATATTTTTACTGAGCTATATGTGTTTAGAAGGCGATGAACAGCTGTCTGTGTAGTACAATTTATTTTTACTGGTGATTTACAGGTGCACTCCATTTGGCAAATGTAAGCTATTTCATATGGCTAATATATTTACATTACCATTTATGTGATGGATAAATGTTTTGTGACACTGTAGAATCACACCTATTCCATTTTGAACGAATTGCCTCTTTTTGTCTGTTCTGCCTAGTGCCCATTTGCTTGTTAAACACCTTAGAGCAGAAGAGTTAATTGATTAATTCTAGACATTTTTTAAAGCAATATGTCTAGAACAACAAATCTTCAAATTTTATTGTCTTTAATCAGCTTTTCTCTGCTGAGAAGTTTCCTGTTAAAATAGAGAACTGCAAAAATTACATAATAAATCATATTGAAGAACAGAAGTATAGGTCATAATCTGGGGAATGCTTTCCATGTAGTTCTGTAAAGATCTAGAAATTCTATATTCTCTAAATATATCTATTTAATACATTGATATCATTCTTGGGTGGGTGTGGTGTATAGTGGAACACAGAACTGTTTTTCTGCACCTAAGTTGGTATGTGATTTTTCGTATCACTGGGTGATACTCAAATTACCGTACAGAAATCCATGTTACAGAAGCTTTTTGCATTCATACAACAGAAAGGTAAGTGGCACTAAGGAATTTATTTATTTACTGCCCTCGTACAGTTTTCATTTTCAGATAGAAATTTCCTTAAAATGGCTTCATTTTTATACTCAGATGATACGCAATGAAGCATCCTTCTACCACTGCTTCTCTGACTCAGCATGTGGTGACAGTGAGAAAAGTATTAGTAAGAGATAAACCACAGCTAAGGAAAGCAATACAGTGTACTGGCTGTTAATTTCTTGAAAGAATATAAAAAATAATGTGAAAGAGAGCACTGACATTTTATATAAGTCTGCCTTCCTTGCATAGTATCTTGAGACTACTGCCTTCAGGTTTGAATTTAAAGTAGTTTTTATTTACAGTGGAGTAGTGTATTGACATAAACTGTTTTCAGCTTTCTGTGTGTTGAAGCCTATTCCTTTTTTAGTAAAGTAATCCTGCGTACAGAGAACACCTGTTGGTTTAAAGTACTGTGTGAAACTGCTGCAATGCCCTTTGTAGGTAATGGTTCACTGGGGTTGATTTTAAGAGGTTTTGTTTTTCAAAAGGATGTCTCAGTGTTCTGGCTATCAGAATATATGGGTATTGCCTTGTTTCCCCCAAACCACTAATTTTCTTTAGTGGTTGCTTCTTTATTTGAATATGATTCTTTGTCTATTCCTTCAGCATTAAGGTTTTCAATAGAATCAGCTGGCTTTTCTAGCTAGAAATAGTTAAATCTTTGTGCTTTAAATTGTAGATCTTTATCCTGTGTTGGTCTCATCTTTATTGGTCATACTTGCCTTTCTTCTTCAAATGTTTTTCAGCCACTGGAGGGGGAAATAAAAACCTATCAAACTGGAACAGTTAAATCTGAGTGAGTAAGCCAGTTAGTTAAATACTAGGAAGAATAGTACTGAAGATCTCAGCCATTAAGTAATTTACATCACTTTCTTAGTAGAAGAATCTAAATCACTTGTGTTACAAATGAAGCCAAACGTTGCAGAACAATCACTATCTGCCTCTTCTGTTATGTTAAACAATAGTTCTATTATGGAATTTTCAAGTAGAACTGAAATAATGTACTTCACAACTTTTCATTAACATCTGTTCATACTGAGGATCCTGCTGATTAAATCTAGAACTTGTTACAAACACTTACCGAAGCCAGAAATGTCCAATTTTTGTTTCTGGCCCCAACAATAGACCATTTTGTTGTGTTTCTCACTCTTTCTCTGCAATTGCTAGAAGAAAATATGTTGGTTTGCAGCTGAATCAGGCAATGTCAGATAAACAAGCGTTATAAAAGTGCGATCCAGATCTGTTTTATGGCTAAGGGTTAATAATACATTGAAATGTCAGAGACTGCTGAGTAGTCAGATTTAACCCTTTTCTGTGTGAAGTGTTAATTTTGTTTCAGAAAATGTAAATTATGAAACAAAAGTTGATATATTGAGTAAGTCCTCTTAAGAGTTCAGAAAATATCTTTGATAATTTGCAGTCACAGATTTTGAGTGAGTATGCACATGGAATGTTTCCTACCTTTAAGAATGTGTACAAGGTTAGATAATGCCAGTAAAGGAACTTGTACTATAATTGCCCTTTATAGTTCTTCGGATTAGCAAGGGATTTAAGTTTCTCTTGTTAATCTGCAAGTGTTACCATCACTTTAAAAAAATGTCCATTGAAAATGGCATAATAGCTTTTATATGTTAATACTAAAATTTACTAATAACTACCAAATTAAACAAATTAGTCCCTATGAGAAAGAACTAAAATTCAGTAATGATAAAGGTTGCTTATAATCCTTCATATAGAAAAATTGGATAAAGACTAAGAAAAGTATCTGCAGAATATTTTTTATGCAGCTTGATCCAGATATATTGACTGATATTTTATGACATTTTAATGAATTAAAGTCACTTCTCTATTTTGTTCGAAGCAGGAGTTTTTGTTACTTACTATGTCCAGCTTTAGTGGAAGTGTTTCATGTAAGATGTTGAATAGATTGTTGGACTTGTTTTTTAAAATCCATATGTTAGTGAAGATCTCTTGAAATATCTTGGTCTGTAACCTATCAATGCACTTGTATTGTATGGACAAGGATGACGTACATGAGAATTTGAAACTGTCCTGATGTTAAATATTAGGAAAATAATTTGTTGCCATCTTACATCATAATGAGTTAGCTGGATTTTAGCAGCCATGGGGGGAGGGAGGCCTGGGGGTGGGGAATTCCAGGGATGATGTAAAAACATCATAATTTTTACCCATTACTGAATTTCTAGTCTCAAAAATTCATCAAAGTACTTTAAACAAATGTTATCAAAAAGGTGATTGAATCTTCATATACTCTGCTGTCTTGAGAAGACCAGAGGCAAAGGTGAAAGTTCTTACACAAAAATATTATAGGGAATCTGGTGAGGGAATTACTATCCACAGTAGCAAAACTGTTATATTTACTTAAGTAAATATTACAGTGGTCAAGAATTCAGGTTGCTGGTAAAAATGCAGTGATCTTGCATAGCATAAATGGTAAACTGAATATAGATTGTTCTCATCTTCTGTGAAATTCTGCCTACTGCTGGCACAGGGTCCTTTGCTGCTGCTGTGATTCTCTCATTGTCTTCCCCTTTTCCCAGAGACTTAGCAGTTTGCTGACTTGGTAGGACCTATGGTATTCCTGGTGTCTTCTTGTCCTGGTTAAAGTAAATTTAAAAAAAGTGGAACTGTTCTGTGCTTACAGTCAAGATGTGCAGTGAGTTACTTCTTGTACTTACTTTAATTGTTGCCTTCTGTGCTCTTCCAGTAGGAACAGTTTGCTCCCCGGAGAAAAGCTCCAAGTAGAGCTTGTTGCTTGATATACATGGGTAGATTTCATCTTGATGCAAATTCTGTCGTCATGTTCCCACTTTTCTGCCTTAAGAACAGCCATCTGTAGCACCGAAAAAGTAGTTTATTCTGTGTCATCATGGTCTTAATGTTTGAACTTTATTATAGACTCCTGGTAAAATTGCTCCCCCCAAACTAAAACTGTGGTTGAGCTAGTAGTGTCTACTGCTATTGAACAGTTGTGTATCCGTGACTTGTGAAAAATTCTGCTGGTTCTTCGAGGAAGTACTGTAAATTCATTAGGGATTACTCTGTGCAAACTTATACTTCATTTTCTGAGATCCAGTTGGTCATGGTAAAAGGAAAAATGTTTTCAGAAGTGTCCAAAAGACTTAATTTTGAACCTTACTTAAATTGTAGTTGGTGAATTTGCATTATAATTTAATTGTCATTTAAAGACTGTATCCGTGATTATTTTTAGAAGTACAGATAATGAGTGTTTATCAAGCATTGATGATAAAATAGTCCCA